CCTCTTGCCACCTTGTCTTTCTACTACAGCCCCATGAGCTTCTCTCAAAGCAAGGTCTGGGCCTCCCTCTACATCCTTCAGACCAACTCAGATGCAAAGGGGATCTAGCACACTGCATTTGGCAGTAAAAATGCAGGGTTTTCAGGTGTTTTTAAATTTCTTCAGTGTTTAGCAGGTGCTTTTCATTGTAGTCGGCAGCCATTAGACCCAGAGGGTGACAGACAGTGACACTTATACTGTCACCAAAGACAAGAAGAGGACTCACCAGAGAGCAAGGGACCGATAATAAGCCCCATAAGGAAGCATGGAAGGAAAGGCTGGGGCGGGGGCTGTTCAGCTTCCTGTTGCTTGTTCATTCAATGTGTGGTCATCAAGTATCTTCTGTGTGGTGGCATCAGACTCAGTACTGAAGACACAGTGCTCATTCAGAATAACAATTCCATTCCTCAAGAACAGGACAGGTTCTCAAGAGAAACAGGCTTTACGTGATTCACTTTCTCATTGCACTTTAATAGTCATGGTTATAGCCAGGCACCATAATCCCAACTACTCGGGAGGTTGAGACAGAAGGATTGAAAATTTGAGGCTAACCTGGGCAATTGAGGAAGACTCTGCCTCCAAATAAAATTGAAGGGCTAGGAATGAAGGTTAGTGGCTGAGCACCATGTATTCAATTCCTAGTACCAGAAATAAATAACAGCTACAAAGAACAAGTTGCAAAAAAAAAAAAAAAAGAACAAGTTGCTTTGGCATCATAGAGCTAGGAAACCTGCTCCAGTCTTCATGTTCAAGTAAAGGTCCCCTGTGCAAGTAACACTTAGATCAAGAGAAAAGGAGGGCAGGAGTTAGTGACAGGGTGGAAGTGGGGTGGGGACTACGGACCATCCTGTGGCATTTGAAAAGTAGTCAAGGAAGTCCAGTGGGGGTGGGGAGATAAAAAGAGAGGCAGGAGGAAGAAACTCTAGGATAAGAAGAGGCTGGAGAAGTAGGTAGGGACCAAATTATACCCATGGTTCCAGTTGGACAGCTGTGACAGGAGGCCAGGCAGGTGGTGAGGACCTCAGCCACGGCAATAATGATGAAAAGGACACATTCAAGAGTAGCAATCAGACAGGGTTTAACAATGTAGTCAGCATGGAGAGTGACAATGCAGGAGGGGCCAGAGATCATGAAGTAAAGATTTACTGAGCTCCTTCTGCACATGCACATGCAGTGATGGAAACATGAACAGATTCCAGGATGATCCTCAGGATTCTGGTCTCATCACCTGGGCCGTTTTCAAAGGCAACAGAGGCTGAAGAAAGAAAAAGAAAAAAGCCAAACGTGGGGAGGATAAATGTTGGATATTACATTTGAGGGGCTTTAGGAGACATCCCAGTGGAGATGTTGGAGAGGAGAGTGCTTATCTGAGTCAGGAGCTCAGGAGCTCAAGAAAGAGATTCCATCCCATGATACAAACACCGGCATCATGGAGTCCAGTGGTCACTGAAGCCACAGGAGTGAATAAGATCCACGTTGTTACGCGCAGCTTCTGATTGCTCATTTCACATGTCAACAGAATTCAGAGACACGGGATTGAGATGTGCATAAGAAATTGTTTGAAACACTAACAAATTTACTCACCACAGGAAATGATTCAACCAAAGGCTAACTAGTCCTGTATACTGTTCAAGGAGTTCAAGGGCTAAAGTACAAAGACATTCTTTTTAGTTCTCTGACTTGGCCACCAGTGACAAGTGTAGGGTTTGAGCAATGAGTTTACCCTGGGAGGTTGGTAGAATTTACAAGCGCTACCTGGAAAATAATGGGGTGGAAAAAATACTTCCAAGTCCATACATAGATATTATATCCTTTGTGTGTTGATTTAAATGGATCTTAAACCATTAAATTAATTCAGTGGAAATTCGTGTCRGCATTCAACAAATAACACTGAATATTACAGTGTCCCCCAAGCTCCAGATACCAGTGACATGGATGATCATTTACCTGAATAGTTTGCTGGTTTTCACCCAATATAAAGGAGAGAAATTTTGTGTTGGCATCTGAATCCTGCTCCCAAACAGAAAGAAGAGTAAATCAGCTTGTTACATAATACCTGGTTAACAGTAATGTAACTTTTCATTTTTCAAAATGCATCCTGACATTTTCTCCATACTTCTTAGAAGACCACTTTGGTCCTGACTTTGTGCCTTCCACAGAATTTGTGGAAAACTCTCAGGGCAGAACCTTATTTTCAAACAAAGACAGTGTTTACATCCAAGAGTTCCTTCCCTCCAAGGGTCTGAGCTCTTCTAACTTCACCCAAGGAAAGACCACATTGCAGCCCCCAGCAGGGCCTCCTGGGGGATTGTGTTGGCCCAGTACTGGACAAACTGAGCAGCACCTTTTTCACAGACCAGGGTTTTACATTGTGCTACTTGAATGGCCTTTTGCAAAAACCACTGGTTAACATGACCCCATTTAGGGCCAGTAGCTTTGTACCCTCACAAAGTAGGAAAAACCAAGAAAAGGGGAATCAGAGGTCAGGAGATAAGTGGAAGAGTGGGTATCCATGATTTCTTTTCAGGCAAAACCTCAGTTAATCATTAATAGCTTTTCACTGCTTGAATTTTAGTTTTCCTTGAAAAAGAAAATATGCGTTATCTTTAGAGAAAAGTTTTGGTCAAAAGAGGGGAAAAGTTGGGGCAAAGACATTCTTTGTTTTCTTGTCCCTCCAGATACACTGCAAGTACTTTGCCTGGCCTAAAAGTATCATTTGCATTGGAAAGAAAACTAATGCAAACAAATTTATTTCAGCTCATACTCATGATTCAAAGAACATATCTACAAATGATGTCCTATTAAAGATCCATTATATTATACCACCTTTGTTTTCACTTTTTTTTCCCAAAGTTTACATATTATTATCCTTATTGTAGATTATACAATGAAAAACAATAAAGCCTACCAGTGCCACTGGCTGATGTATTGGCTTTTTTCAAAACCTGAAATTATGAAATCTTCTCTCAGAAAATACAAAATTACATTATCCAATTGGAAATAGTTTGCTTTCTTTCCACACCCCACACTTCCTTACCAATGTCAAGGAAGAGAAAGGCTCTTTTTTGCTTGTCATTTTATTTGCAAGATTTGTCTGAACATTGGAGAAGAATGTTCCATGTATTTCAGAGACAGCAATTTCCAAGCCATTTGGCTTGAGAGATGGTTTAAATAGGAGTGAATTTAATATACCCTTAATTCTCTGAAGTAAGGGACTCCAGCTGAGGTTTGGTCCAGGGCAAAGTCTGCTGTCGACACTGAAGAAAATCTATCACATTAATTCCAGTGGTTCAGAGTCCAAAGCTGCAAGAACAGAATACTCAAAAATAGGTAATGTGAGAAGAATGCTTTAGAAAGAAACTTTAAAATAAAATGGCTGTTCAGAGAATACCAGGTCTTATATGGAACCGTCACCAGTTAAGGAAAGATATAAATAATTATGCCTGAGAATTACAGCTAATTAAAAATAACTCAATGCACAAAAGCAAAAGAAAACTATAGAATAACTTTTCTGCTGCACTGTTAATGTGAAATGCCACATAATGAAATAGTAGAATTTTTTTTAAAATTTCATTTCACACCAGCATAGAAAAGATGGAGGAGAAAATTATATTGCCACAAAATGCCAGGTTAGATTTGCTAAAGTTGTTATCACGTACTGTATTTAAAACAAAAATCTAATTGCTGTAATTTATCATAGGTCTGGGTATTAAAACCTTGCTAATTTTAAAATTTTAATCATTTGCCACTTTGTGCTCAGTGACTTTTCCTGGAAGATACTATGAAAATTTCTGATTCCATCAGTCTTTTATAATTTTAGGGGCTCCTACACATGATTAACATGCATTAAACATATAATTGTGTTTACATCATTGATTAAAAAAAAATTCCTTATGTTTTCCGCTTAGTCTGTTCAACGAAATATCTGAAGCTGCTTTCTCATTGCTGAGCCCAGTGTGTAAGAACACAGGCTGCTGAGCCCATTTGAATTCCCAGAGCACACATCTAGTACTATAAAGAGCAGGGTGGGGCCCACCTTTCTTTTTGGTTTGGAGAGAGGATTCTTTTAATGATCAGAGAAATTTGAAAGACATGAGTCTATGATTTCTGCATGAATTTGCTCCTTGGTCTGAAGAAGTCAGTGTTTCCTAAGTCAAGGTGGCAAGACCTCTCTTACAAAAAAACAAGCATTCAGTTGTACTTTCTCTGACTGACAGGAGAAAGATAGGGAGGAAAGAAAGGGATTGTACAATGCAGAAGAAATGCTATCTAGGTGTAAAGATGACTGCTAGAGGGAGAAAAGATGGAGGGAAAAAAGAACTTATAAAGAGGGAAGTCGCCAGAAGCCAAATCATTTCTCTGCTGTGGGTGTGGGAAGCCTTGGGGAAATATAGCCTATTTCAACACAACATACGGGCTGTGTCCAATGGTCTCCACCCTGGGAAAAGCACAGTGGTTTGATGAGGTTTGTGCATTTTGTAAAACCAAATTATGATCTTATATACCAGAGGATTCATGAGTGTAGCATGTAAGTGTGTGTTTATTAAAATCCTGCATTAGTTCCAAACAAAAGAAACAATATATAAATCAGTTTCCTAAATCACAATCAGGAAACCTACTCCAGACCAAACCTACATTCAGTGTAGTCATAGGTTCAAGTTCAAGAAGCCAGTACCCCCACATCTGCTTTATTGAGGTACTAAGGGACTTTGAAATCCAACACTTTGATGGGAAAAATTAAAATCAGACTCACTTAAGGTCACAGATCCAGACACAGACCACACATGGAGATCTTGTCTCGTTGACAGGAATCTCTTTTCAGTCCCAAATCATTCCTGCTTCACCTCCTTCCTGACCTCACAATGTGCTCCCCTGAATAGAGGTTCTACACCCTTTTTCTTCCTTCCCTACAATAAGTGTGGGCTCTCCACCTGATCAATAACCAGATCTTTTTTCTGCAGGTGCAAAGTTCCCCATTAAGTGGACGGCCCCCGAAGCAGCCTTGTACGGGAGGTTCACGATCAAGTCTGATGTATGGTCTTTTGGAATCTTACTCACAGAGCTGGTCACCAAAGGAAGAGTGCCATACCCAGGTAAGCCCAGAACCCTCAGAAATGAGCCTTTGATGTGTTCTCTTTTGATAGCATTGGGAAGACTGCACCCAATTGCCTTTCTAAGCTCCATGCTCAGCTTTCTGGCAAGCAGGAGTTTAAAGAATATGAATAGGTAGTTAGCCAGAGGAAAGCAGAGCTGGAAGCCACCATGGCATACAGACAGGCAGCCACTGTGACCTTGTGCCAGAATTAATGTAATTAGCAGCTGGAATGAATGCTTCAGTCTCCGTGGTTAGTGGACCCTCTCCTCTGTCTGGAGGAGCATGTGTCTGTGTCTCCCTGAACAGAAATGTCACTGGCAAAGCCTCCACCCAAATGGAGTTTTCAGACATGTCTGGGAAAGAGAAGGAGAAAAGCCCCTACAGCTTTTTGATCACTCTATAGCACTGGCCCATGGAGCAAACCTGGCAGGAAGGTGCCAGGCCTGAGCTCTCTCCCCTCAGCAAGCCTGAGCTGCAGATGTCCAGAGAGCAGAGGCACACGGAAGGCAATTTAGAGACCATTCACTGCCTGCTGCTGTAYAGTCAAAATATYCTTTACCAAAGCAAAGGAACTAGAGATTCTTAGACCCTGGAAATTTTTTTTGGATTATCAGATTCGTGCTCTCCAAAGAAACCATGGGTTGAGGTTATCCATGCTTAAATTCATTAATTTAGACAGATGGAGACATAAAGGACATTCGTGCCATTTCACCTCCACGCTTTAGTGGTTATATCGCAGGGACGATCTGCTTTTTGAAATGTTAAGGACATATTTTTCAGTTACTGCTGAGCGAAGAAAGAACATAACTCTCCCTCATTCCCTGCCTAAAAATGGAGCTTAAGAAAAAAGGAAAACACAGTGCACATACACACACACACACACACACACACACACACACACACACACACACTCCCTCTCCCTCTCTCTCTCTCTCTCTCTCTGATAGAAACGATAGTGGAGATTAATGAGGAATGTAGGTCTCTTGCAAATCCTGGGTTTGTAATCATATCTTTGCAGTCAGAGGAGCTGGAGAGAGGCGATTAATTTGTAATCCCTTTGTTCATTTCGTATGATTGTTTCTGGTCATCTTCAGAGAACGCAGAGAAATGCACATAAAGAGGATCTCTTTCTGGGTTGGTATCGCCTCGAGACCCCTTAGGAAGAGCCAGGTTGGCACTGATGTGAAATTGACAAAATCCCGTCTCTGAAGTGCCAGCACCAGGCATTGGGAAATGCGGGAGTAAGTCAGTTTTATTGATGCTGCAGTGGCTGCTGCTCCCGGCATGCACAAGTGGGCAGACACTCCGGGAATAGCCAACCAGCTCAGAAGAAAGGGCTGCCCTGGAGGGGGCTGGAGCACAGCATGGGAGCTTTTGAATTGCTTCTCAAGGGGGAAAATGTGCTGGTCTCAGGATTTTGAAGATGTGAAGGCACCTCTTTTTTTTTATTGTCTGCATTTTGAACTAATTTCTTCCTGATCCCCCCAGGTTTATAGTCACCCTGTGTGTTAAATGCAATCAGGGGAAAAGGTTAATGTTGTTTTGCGTTTCTGTGAAGCCTTCCCTTTTCAGTGATACAAAGCTGCTTTTTGTTTCTGGGGGTAGCACACAGAAGCCAAGACAAAGGGGTGGAGGTGGGGCCCTCAGAGAAGGAAGGCAGGTGTGTTTCTAAGGGAGCCTTTTGTCAGGTTGGCTTTTTAGCATAAAGAAAATAGCCTCATTTTACAACTTAGACTAGATCCATTCAGTCAGTATCACTTCAGTCAGCGTGAACTGTGCCAGGCATTTGTTTCACCGGGGAAATAATGCAAAGAAGACATTCCTTCTCAGCTGACATTGATCAGTGCCTGCCTCAGACAATGATCTAGGTGCTAGAGGGAGAAGAGTGAGCAAATACGGGGAGCCCCTGCACTCAGGGGGCTTACACTCAGCACCCAGAGAGAGATCCCGGAAGAAATCAGCCTTACTTGTGGTGACTTATTTATTATTAGAGGAAATCCTCCTCAAGGCGTGGACTCCTTGAGCTCACCCACTGAGTGCTCTAAGCCTTGATTCTCATATGGAGCCAGGGGTAGCTGCTTCAAGAACTTCCATACAAGAGATGCTGAGAAGGGCCTTTCACTGAGAACCCCCCAAAGCCGGTGAGGGAGTCCGAAGTGAGAACTGTACCCAGCAGGTTGTGCACAGCTACATCTGTGAGCAGCTGCTGGTCCACTCTGGGCTGTGTTGACTGACCCTCATCTCTGTGTGTATGTGGGGGTGGAGAAGAGGTGGGGAGGGCTTTGTGTAAAAGGCAAGTGAACAGTGAACCAGATCTTGGAAGGCAGGCCGGGCTTCTTCACATCCAGGGAGCCGAAAGTCCCCAAGCCTGGCACATTGGGAGCAGCAGGACCTGGGAGGCAGGGCCAGGTCAGGAGCCACAGGAAGAGTCTGAGAAGAGGGCTAGTACAGTACCACAGGGAGATATAAGGTCCTGGCTCTTGGCAGCAGTGGTCAGGGAGCTGTGTCGGGGGGGAACAGTGTGTGAACTGCTCTTCATCACCAAGCGCCTCTGAAAAGTGTCCCCAGGAAAGATACTCCTAGCTGGCTGTGGGTCTTCCTAGTTTTTTTTGTTAAACTTAACTGTAATCATATTTAATTGGACTTCTGAGTGTGACAGGAAACTCTTCATGAGGGAGAAGCTTCTAGAGAGGGATTGCAATTATGAGATTATTCCCTTAATGAAGGATAACAGTTCCAAGAAACAGTTTCATTAAGCATCATCTAGCTGTCACCATGAAAGGAAAGACCTTCCTCCACGTTCTTGCTGGTTGTTGGTGTGGCCATTTCAGTGGTGTGTGCTGAGGGGTCCCCTCTCCTCAACGCCCCTGAGTTGAGTCTTGGTGCCTGTTGGTGTTGCCCCATGACAGACTCCCAGTCCCTGTCCATTGGGGACTTCCATTCTGTATTTGGATGTAGTAATTTCTCAGTGGGATAGAATATATTTTTAAGTAATTCTTTTTTTAAAGAATGATAAGTAGTGGTACATTTTTCTGAGTTCTTCCATACCCGAGGATGGTCTCTGTCACCCCATCACACAGGAAAGGTACTTTGGTGTTTAAAATGAAGGTGGTGGGGGAGGAGGYGGACATATGAGCGAGATTTGTAAAAGCTTCTCAGACTTTTTGGCCAACACACAAGTGATTAGTGAAATGAGCATCAGACTAGGAGCTTAGAATGGAGTGCGCTGCGTGAGGTGTGGCCAAATGAAGGGCAAACGCACCAGCAGCCAGGAAAGCATTGGATTGGTTGGTTAGGCAGCCTATTTTTAAGAAGGAATGGATAAAAAGGAARGAAAGAAGGACAGTTTCAAAATGAACTGAGAACCTTGAAACCAAAGAAGGAATGTGGAAATGTGATGCTGGGATTGACGAGGAGGAGGTGAGCCAAGGCACAGCACCTCACCCTAGGGGGCAGTGTGACAGAGATGGACTCTGCTCTGAAGGACAGCTCCATTGGACCCAGTCCCTGCCAGCAGCCTGACCTAGGTGCATTCTCAGTTGCAGTCCAGCTTAATCTTCTGAAATCCAGGGATTTGAACCATTCTTTGCATCGAGATTAGACCTGATTTTATGCAGATGGACTGTTGTACCTGAGAAATGAAAACATTTAATTAAAAGCAGTTTTCTGGGGTTGATACATACCATCAGAGTTATGCATTTTAGCCTGGAATTCACCTTCAAAACCTCACTCAAATCTTTTCTCTCTGCCTTCACTACCACTGCCCATGTCGGGTTATGACCTCCTAATGGGACTTATTGCCTCCAGTCTCTCCTCCCTGCCTCCTTTCCACCACCACCATTCTGTCATTGTCACCAGCAGAATTGTTATCCTGGAAAACACAGACCCATTTACCTCATACTCCTGGTTAAAAACACCAGGGCTTCCCTTTGCCCTCCAGATAAACTTCAAAGTCTTCATTTTTCATAGTATCTCAGAAGTCTTCTCCTTCGTTGATTCCACAGATATTTATTRAACAGCTACTATGTGCCAGGTACAGTTCTAGGCACCAGGAATATTGCAACAAYCAACATGAAAACCCATGCCCTCATGAACTTGCTTCTTGAAGAAGAGCAACAATAAATAAAGAAAAACAAGCAAAACATATGGARTGTTGGCCAGTAGTGATGGGTAGAGAGAAAATAAAATGGGAAAGGGTAGAGACAATGTCAGGAAAGGGTGACAGGAAGCTTGAGCCTCAAGCCAGGTACTATCATAGGGAAGGGAGACTGGCTCCTGAAGAATGCAAAGATGGCAGAACCAACTTCAGAAGGYCAAGGAGGCTAAGCACAGACAGCGAGAGTCCCCTGGGGTCGTGTTAGGATTTCTGCTTTTACAGATGTGCAGTGGGCAGTGAGGGCTCCTGAGCAGCAGAGTGACAAGATCTAACTTATGATCTCACCCTTGTCATTCGCCTGCCCTCACAGGCTCCCCAGGACACACCAAGAGATCTCTTTTGAACATGCAGGTCTCCCTTCTGCCCAGAGTCTTTCAAAGCCTCTCCAAACACCACTGCCTTTGTGAAGCCTGTCCAGACCAAGCGGGTCGCCCTCTRTGTGACACCTGGCGTGTTTCTGCTGAACACCTGTTACGTGTCTGCATTTCCCAGTAGCTCTGCCTTCCTGGAGGGGAAAGGAACTCCTTTTATGCATTGCCAACGCACAGCACAGTCTCTGCCCCAGAGCCGACTCTAGAAGCAAATGAACGAATGAGAGAGACAGTGGGGAAAGCTATGAAGTTTCTGAAGCAAGCTTTTCAAACTTGGCCCAGAACCCACAAGGCCTTTTTAATTGTTCCATCGTCTTCACACATAATATTTTTCCAACCACGAAGTAGCCTCTGTCCTCAGAGTTGTTCTGGGAAATTGACCCTGCGCCCTCCTAGGCAGAATGTCCTGGCCATTCTGTGCCCTGGCCCCTTCACTGAACACCTGCTTTGCATATTTGGCAGGATCTCTCA